AAAGACCCTATGTTGAATTTGGTGCCTTTCTCATGAAAAGTGAAGAAGTATTAAGTAAAATCACTGAGTTGTTAATTGGTTATCTGAATCCTTTTCAAGCTTTGAGGTTTTCCTGCCAACGGAGGACAGTGGAACAGAATCTTCCTCCATTGGATCTTTTAGCGTGAAGATGGGAGGAGTTTATGACTTCATGGTGCATAAGCCCTTGATGGATCCAATGTAACAGTGAGTGACTTCATAGCTATGTAACAATTTTCTATCAGATTTTCTCTTTCGTAAAAAGCCAGGTTAATTAAAGTAGAAAAAAATAGAATCTTTCCTGGATTTCTGTCTGTATATTTAAGTATGTATTTATATATATTTATATGTGTGTGTATTGTGTGTTTTGTGTGTGTGTGTGTGTTTGTGTGTGTGTGTGTGTGTGTGTGTGTGTGTGTGTGTGTGTGTTTTGTGTGTGTGTGTGTGTTGTTTGTGTGTGTGTGTGTTTTTGTGTGTGTGTGTGTGTGTGTGTGTGTGTGTGTGTGTGTGTGTGTGTGTGTGTGTGTGTGTGTGTGTGTGTGTTGTGTGTGTGTGTGTGTGTGTGTGTGTGTGTGTGTGTGTGTGTGTGTGTGTTGTGTGTGTGTGTGTGTGTTGTGTGTGTGTGTGTGTGTGTGTGTGTGTGTGCGTGCGCATATATGCATATATGTATATGTATAAATATATGTGATCTATATTATTGTCCAAACCCCTATGATCGGATGCTGTGCTATCATGTTTGGCCTGAGGGGCAGGTGGCAGGACATGCCATGAGTATACAAAGCTCTTAGAGGGTGATTAGACTCATTTAGCATTTAGGAAGGGGCTTTGGTATTATTTCCATTGATAAACAAATGAATGTACTGCCTGTGAGCCATGATGACAGAGTGCCAGCTCCAGGGAGGACTGTTTCCATGCTCAACATCCTATTCCTGTTGTCATGACTAGCAGACAAGTTGTATTTTAAAAATTTGAACATTATGAGATTATTAGAAGATGACACAAATTACAAAATGTTATTATTCATTTCATTAATGCACTGAGTTACTGACTGCCTAGAGAGATAATATGTGCAAGGAAAATAGTCTAATTACCATCTGCATAAATCAAATCAAATGAAAATACAGATATTGGAAAATGGCAAAGAAGCTATAAACACTTATAGGGAGGGGTATGGAGCTTAGTTACCGCACATGAGTGTTCATTTACATCAGCCTACAAGCCACGTATCCGTCAGAGTGTCCTCTCAAATAGGCCTAATATCCATAATTTGGGCCACGTGGTGGCAGTGAAGTATCAGATCCAATGGTTAACTAATTCTCTTTTGTATAATATTCCTTTTCCTTTTTACAGTCTGTCACATTGTATGAAGTTACTCCTGCCAATACTGTCCATATGCTGTGGCTGATACCAATATTTGTTATCACAGTATCTGAATCATGTTCTCATTACTGGGCTTGAGTTCTCATTCATGCAGGTATGTAACTTGAAGGTTACAGGATATGTTTTGATTTTTTCTTTGTGCTTTTCCTTATATATAATTTTTAGATGTAAATTAATTGCAATATAAACTCCAAATATAATTATATAGCACGCATATTTTATATCCAATAATAGTATTAGTGATTCACTTGATTCCTTTTTATCCTTCTTTATAATATATTTTCCAGGCTCCAAGTAGTATGAAATCAGTCTTACAAGCTGCCTGGCTTCTCACAGTAGCTTTTGGTAACTTGATTGTTGTCATCATTGCTGAAGCCAAATTCTTTGAAGACAAGTAAGTGTTGTAGTTTAGTACATACAGTGGGAGTAATTGTTAAAGTTTACTGGGAAATAAGTTTTCAAGATGTATCATTGATATGTAAGAATATTTTTTTAATAGAAAAGTGAATGGACTAATAACAGACTTTGGGCAGATACTCAAACATTACAGCGTTGTATGCCTTAACGCTCTGTAGCTTACAGCTAGTTCTCCTACGTGTTGGTACAAGTCAAGGGCGCTGTAGAGTAAGGCAGGGGGAGTGGAGCCTAGTGGGTTATGGGAACCATAATGGACACTTTTACAGCTTTAGAACAATTAGTACAACTTACAAGGTGCTTTGCTCTGTTATATTGCTATTATTTGTGTATTGTTAACATAGTTTTTGGGTGATTGGACATCATGATGATTCAAGATTACTTTACATATATAAATATAGAAAAGGTTTGAAGGTGAATCTTCACAATACAATAAAATACATTGTTTGTATTTTAAAGATATTCATTCTCATTCATACCTTTTCTACATTTGTCAACATGAATGCAGTTCATTTACAATATAGTTTAGGCTTTAAAACTTATTCCAAGTATTATTTCTTAAACTGGTAATTGTTATGAAAATCAAAGCCAATATTACTCTTGTAATATTGGCCATCTTTTGAGCAGGGTCACTTTCAAGAAGACAATTCTTCATTCCCAACTTTCAAGGTACTCATGCATTCCATTAATAAGCTTTCTTATAAGAAATTTGTATATTGCTGCATTATTCATTCTTTAACATAGTAGTTAAAACAGTTCATTATGCATGGACTGGATACAGATGTGTTTTACAAACAACTTAGCAGATTAGCTTAACGGCTTGTAATTGATCAAGATTCCTAAGAGCAGCCTGAAACAGCAACTGTGATTGCCCATTGAAGATCAGATGCATAGGTGATTTACGGTGAACAGGGTTTAAGGCGAGGGTAAGGGACCATAAAAACCTTTGTGAATACAGCGCCTTAGACAGGCCATGACATAAGTCGCTGCAGGACAGTTAGTCCTCCAGTGCACTTAAGCTTAAGGTTCTTTTGAGTATCTGGCACCTGGTTTGCACTAGAATGGGGAAGGGTAGTGAGATTATATATAGAAAACCTTAACATCATTGTATTTGAAAAGGAGGTCTGTGAAAGTAACACCGTATAGGTAACTGAATATTGAAAATATGTATATCACAAGTATAGATAAACTGAATATTGAAAATATATATTTACAACAAAAGGTCTTTCATAGGCTAAGGATATTCCTTTGTGAACTAAAATACGTATAAAAATAGTAAGATAAAACAATTTTTTTGAGTAGAATATGGTGATTTGAAGCTCTATATTGATAGATTGTTTCCCAGGACTAGAAGCATCATATCTGTGTATCTTATCCTCAAACATAATACTTCTCATTAATAGTGGATCCATTGATGGAGTGTCATATATTAGTTCTTATCCTAAGTAAATAAGGATGAAGAAGCTTATTCTTAAGCTTTTGAAAGTAAATGAGCAAACTTGAATTTATACCTACATGTGTTATGCAAATTTATGTGATTCTTTTTTCTATTATTACAGGCTCTTGAGTTCTTCCTCTTTGCCGTCCTCATGTTTGTTGATATGGTGGCATTTGCTGCTTTAGCGGTAAGGTACAAATATGTAGATCAAAATGGAGAAATCGAAGATTCCAAAGAGAAGCAAGGAAATCAGGGAAGGAAAATGAGGCGTATTCTGATGATGAAAAAACTTTTGATTAGATAATTACAGAGTCATTAATTGTTAAATACCAATCACTCTTCTGCTATTACTTGTTTAAAGTTTTGAGTAATGTAAATAATAATTTGCCTCAGTTACATGATTTCAAATGAAAAAAAGTCAAGTATGCAGACAAATATTCCCTTTCCATATTTATGATTATTCAAATTGGCTGTTGTAAAAAACAATTTTTGTTGGCTGTTTGAATTATACATATATTTAAGGTTCATTATGGCTTCTGCTCCATATCTGTAGTCTACAGTATGTAAAAACATATACTGGTATTATACATAAACTTATTTGTGATGAATTATTTTACGACATGCCTTAATCAAACCACAAAGTAAAGATAAAGGTCAAAGTTGAAGTTTATTTACAGTACATAATGTTTATATTTATTGTCTTATTCCATATTTTTCATGTATCTCAGCCATTAGCCTTTCATCTTGTAAATATCATTTTTATCTGTGAATATTGTAGAACAGTTTTTACAATAATTCTAGGTTTTAACTTGGGACAGCTGAACCACATGTATTATCTGTCTTGTACAAGAGTCCTGTAAAATACTTGGTGGGTGCCAGATACCTGCAGTGTGTCTTATATTATAAACATTGATTTTGTTTATATATAAATGGCTTCACAAGTGCTTAGTCACCAAGGAGATAAATTCCTGGCTACCTAATCTCACTTTTTTACCCCATTCCTTGATTTTTTTGTTGAAAGTTTTTACTTCTATTACTGAAAGGTGAGGTCAAGGAAATCTACTAATTGAGTCCTTAGGAAGCCATGTGTGTGTGTGTGTGTGTGTGTGTGTAAACAAGATTAATTGAAGAAAACCACAGTGGGCAGCACACACAGACATGCACTCCTAGTGTCAATAGGTTGAATAGTGAATACATAGAAATAACATAGGAGACCAATGGAAACCTATTATATTTGCAAACATATTTTTCCAGATATTTTAAAGTTTTAAACAAATGAATGTGGTAAATATGAAAGGTCTTACACAAATGTATTTTCCCAAAAAAATCCTAGAAATGTCAATTTACAGCAAATGCTTTTTGGAACAACCCTTTTTGTGCATGCAAATACAAAATTATATTTTGGATTATTTAAATATATATCAATCATTGTGTCAGATTTTTTGGTGGATCAGCTTTGATTTATAATATTGTTACCTGTTAAACCAATAGATACAATTTTTAGGAATACCAGTGTATATTATTTTAATATTTCAGAAGAAAATATTCATAATTAATGATTGCATACTGTAATGTTATGCTGTATGTATCTTCAATGTCATAAGATAATTTACTTCTGATGCAAAAGTATTAAAAACATAATTTTGTTTCTCTTTATTTAAAACAAGGATTTTTTAAATAAATATCTTTTAATAAAAAAAAAAAACATTTTATTACCACAACACAGTATGAGGTTGACAGAAGATACAAATTGGAAATTAAGACTTTATTCTGTTTATGATGTTTTACCTTGGTACATTAACATTCCTTGTTATGTTGGAGGAAAAATCCAATGAATATATTTAATCTTAATATAGATTTTTTTCATATTCTGTAGCATAACTTTACTAAAGAAGTTTCCTTTATACATATATATAAATAAAAAAAGTATGGATTGCCCTATGAATTTTACACCTAACATTGGCCTGAAACACTTAGTCATTTTCGGAGTTTAGCTGGCTTGCTCTGAGAATCAGATTGATCGTCAGAAGTGTCCGTCTTGCCTCTAGACCCTCGAGCCTTCTTCAGGGAAGTGGAGGAACTAGAGGCTTTTCCACCATCCTCTTGTTTGATTTGCTGATAGAAGAATATCTTTTAGTAAATAACTTCTTGGTTATTTGAGCTGTAATAGTACCAGACTTCTCTGAGGAGCAAACTGAAATGAAACTATTTTTTTGTATGGAATTCTAATTCACATAAGTATCTCAGTCTAAATTATTGTGTATAAATACTTGAAAGCTCATATGTTACTAAATATACAGAGAGATTTACCCTGTAATGTCCAACCTACCTTCTCTTTGAAAACATGCGACAACTGTTCATTTCTTGACTGCCAAATCATCTGCTGTCTCTGAACAACATCAGGGTACCTAAGATATTTTAAAAATTCAATATAACAGTGGTAGCACTGTGATTTTACTTATTTTTGTGGGACATGAAATAAGACAAATCTTTTATAAATGGGAGTGAGCTATAAAAAATACTATGTTATTTACGTATAAGACATTCTGTGCAACTAATTGCTCTTGCTTTCTAGTCTAAACTTAGACCTTGTTTTTATTATTTATTACTTAGTTATTTTTAAATCTGAATCTTCAACCTACTTTTTTGGGACACTCCCTTAACTAATCAGTAATAATACTATCTGAAGTATCAATAATCAGTAATAGTTAATTACACTGGAATAATACTTAATGTTTTGCCTAAAACAGATATTCCAGTTTTGACTGGTAATGCTGAAAGCACACATAAAATAGGTGTAGGTACTTACTTTTTTAAGAATGTTTTGTCTGTTGGAAGTAAAAATTCCCAAATAGCACGAGATGCTCGGTAACGAGCCACCCCACGTAAAATTTCCTTTATATCATTGCTTGGTAGTTTAATCAGCTCCGCTATTTCATTACGCAATAATGTTGAGTTCTTTGTGAAGAGATAAAGCTGTAAGATAAAAACAAATCCTGTAAAGAATACTTTACATGATCCCTATACTGCAACATTGTTAAAAAAAAAAAAAAAATGCAATATATCTATATTTCTTAATTGCTATACTGAAAATGCAATCCCGTCTTAAGAACTTTAAACTATTACCTTTCCTTTGTATTGTTTTAGTGTTAGTGTTTTTGTTTTGTTTTTTTGTATGGTGTTTGTTATGCAATTGTTATCTATTATTTATTTTAGATTCATATTCACCCCTTCTTAGTACCCAGTTTAGGCAACAGAGAAATTATGTATTACAATAACTGTCACTACCTCAATAAACCACTAAAAAATATCACAATCAAGTTTCATTCATTATAACATGCCAAATGCACTCCTTATGGTATAAAGAAAATAATAATAATTATTATTATAGCAACAATAATAATGATAAGGACAATGATAATGATACTGATGATAAGAATGACAACAAAATTAATAATACAAAAAATAATACTAATAAAGGAGAAATAATAGCAAAACAAAAATAATAATATTAATAACAATGGAGCAGTAAAATGACATCACATTGCCATAGCAATGGCTGACTGACTTTAAACAAAATCTAGCAGTGCTGTTGTGTTGCTGAGAGTATTTAGTACAAATATTAAAAGATGTTGTAAGTACTAGAATTTTGCAAGGCAATGCTAGATGATTAGTGTCATAAATCATTTTTAAAGTAATCTGCCTTTGGTGCTTAGTGGGTCTGAGGGAAGGCTAAGAAATGAGGCAGCAATGAGACTGCTATAATCTCTTTTCAATACACAAAAGGATATACCTGATAGCCCAATCAAAGAAGATTCCTTCACTTGATGATCTTGAGTCTGATCATATATAATATAT